GACCAAATTCTGCTTCGCCTACTCTCCAAAGGTGGAGGTGCCGGCTTCACCAGAACGGCAAGCAGACCAGTGTGACCAGTGTCCTCATAGCAATCTTGGCTGTCCCACAGGCTCCAGGCGAGCTTGGGCAACAAAGCAAAGCTTGCAGGCTACCCCGCTGACAATATAGGTGGAACAATGCAATGCCAAGACATGTCCGCTGCAGATTTGGCGGAAAAGCCCAGAAGCTAAACATCAGGCACGCCAGCAAAGCGACATGTGGTTGAATGAAGTCTTCGAGGTCGTGTCTCGACAAGTCTCAACTCATTTGATTTAAGTGTATCTAAGTAATTCAAGTGTCAAACCCAACACAAGATGCAAGGACCTCTGGATATTTGATGGTTAAGTTCCAACGATTGTTCTTTTGTATTTTGCGTTCTCCAATTCCACCCCGTGTCCTTGGTTTCTACCCGCAGCATGCTGGAAAGTTTGCTTGGAAACATTTGTGAAGCAGGATGGCCCGCAAACATGCAATTGACTGGTTCCCATTCATTAGGTTGGTAGCCAATAGCCGCCGCAAAACAAAGCTACTCAACACGCACATTTGGAAGCTTGCCAGACCGAAAAACGATGTACCAAGCACCAACCAGTGCTGCGCTGTGGAACGCACATGGTGGTCAGCGTCAGAGTACTGTAATCAACCTGACACTTGTCACTGAAAGGAGACTTTGATTCTGTCCGAACGACATGCAATTTTGCTTGCTGGGCTTTGGCTTGGCCTTGGCCTTAACGATGGCTTTCGCTCTTGGGCTTTTCAGATATTTCAATAACGTGCATATCGCTCGACAGTTCTGTGGCCTTGTGATGAAACCCATCGTATGACTCCTATTGCCGCCATTTGCTCGAGGAACTTTCCCCGCCAACTCCTGATCAAGCGCTCTTCTGGATTCGGCTACATGCCTCACAATCTTCAGACCCAGTCTATCAATCGTGGTCAAAGTTCAATGATGTGATCCGGAACAGCACGAGTCCCATCATCATGCGATGATTCGACGCACCCTTTCCCTTTCATTTGCTGCTGTCATGGCTGTTGCCAGCTCTTCGTTTATTTGTTCTTGCAATTGCTTGGTGCTTCGCTTCGGCAGTTGCACCCGGACCTCTGGGCTCCTGTTACCTGGGCTTTTGGATTGCGGTTGTGAGCGCTTGTTTTTGATTGTATTGTATATTGTCCCAACACACGGTGGGCTCATCTTCTTTTCTCCACACATTATCAGCAAAAAGCGTTGATCTCTGTTGCTGCCAGGCCCTACCCATTACCGCCAGCTCAGCTACCCAAGTATTCTGACACATACCTTCTTGTCATAAGACTGCGAGGCCGGCTATCCAAAGTTCCTGTAGCTGAGACCCCCAGCTGAACACTCCAACCGTGTCAGTGCCCACGCCATTCATTGCAGCTGGCGGGCAATGGCCCTGAACGAGCCCTGTGTTCAGGATTTTCCGCCTTGAAAGGGGCTGACCTCTGACCTCAATGTTTTGAATGATAGACGATGGGGTGGTGGAAAAGTGGAAGGAGAAATGCAAGGATGGGTCTGGAAAGTGGAAGTCTGCTTGTTGAGGCTGACGAACGCGACCCCAGCTTGAAAGCGCTGCTTCTACAAAAATTCAACGGGGGGTGATGCTCTCACGCTTTGGTGTGCGAGGGACGTGGCCGCCTGTGATGTTGACATTGACAAACCGCCACATGAGTAAACACAGCTGCCGGCGAAAAAGCGAAAGCCAAAAGCAACTAGACGACAGGATGACCCGAGCACATCGCAGGAGTAACACGAGGAGAAAGCAGCAACAGCAAACCTTTATGTTCAAAACCTGTATGATGAAAAATGATGTGACGAGTCACGATGTATTGTGATTGTCGTTGCGCTGTCTGAAGTTGCTATCGTGGAAAAAGGGTGACGATGATGATGGCGATAGTGATGATGCCGAAGGTGATGATGATGATGATGATGATGATGATGATGAGGGCTGCGAGTGCTCAAACTTGTTGTCTCGACCTGGCGCCACTGTGATCATTGAGGCCCTTATCTAGTGCTACAGATCCTGCAGATTTGGTCTCCCTCAGAGTCTGGCCTGTTTCTCGCGCTCTCCCTGACTGGCTGGCACTCCTGCTTACTGCAGGTGCATCTTTGCGCTGGGGCACTGGGACACCGAGAGGGCTTGACTTTGACGCACTGCTTCCCAAATCCCAGGCACGCAGGTGCAACATCCTCATCATCCTCTTTTTCTTGACATTGACCATGCTTGACTTTCCCTACAATGTGGATGCGCCAACTTGGCAGCCCGAGGGTTCCGCTTGGGGCACGCGGACTGGCGGCGTCAACATCGTGGATCCACCCTCTCAGGGGGTGTCTCTGTGACAGAGCATAGTGGTCCAGGACCTGACAGTTTGAATCCTCACTAGGCCAAACTCGACCGCAAGCACTTTTTGCCAGGAAGGGGGCTTTTCACAGGGCCCTCAAGCTTCCGATTGCTGACCAATTGAAGTTGCCTTCATTTCGCGTCCTCCCACAAGTCAGAGGATGCCAATGAACAAATCCCGACCCTCCAAAGTTCGAAGCAATCGTTCTTCTGGCCGAGCTGGAACATAGACACTCTGGGAGTTCGCAAGGATATACTCAGGAGCTCGCTAACTATGCAACACGTTGACATTGTTCGCATCCAGCACCAGATGGAACTTCACAGGGGGTTGGCAATATGATGCCTACCCTTTGTGTGCACTGTGCTTCCAAAAGGTCACCAAATGGATGAATTAGTCTGGCGCGTTGTTGTACCCGGCAGACTGCTGCATGTTCGGCTGTAGTAACCACACACGAACATTGGCATAGTGTGTATAATATCAACATGTGTGGCGTGCACAGGACGTCAACAGCAAGAGGTCTTGACAAGATTTCTGGCACGAATGCGATCTACTTTCGAAAGGACTGCCCAACCGCAATGTTTGGATTTTGGTTGGGGATCGGAACGCGAGTCTGTCACACGGTTTGGACAACATCTGGGTGAGCATCCCACACAAATGGAGAAGACGGACAACTTCCAAACCAGCACTGTCCAAGAAGACACATGATACTTCAACAACATGGGGAAACTCTGGCACCAACTTGGTTAACCAACTTCAGCAAGAACTTGGTGCCCTTGATGAACGTCCACTGGGCCTGGACACCTTGAATCACATGTTGCTGCATGAGTGTCACCAATTCAGGCTTCAACCCAGCTCGCGGGAGGCCGTCGGGCCTAAAAACGCCGCGTCGTCCCTCAGCAGATGCCCCCGCCATCCCTGTGGTTGACCGCCGATTGGACCCTGTCATCCACAGTGTGTCTCCCATAAACGAGGCATGGTGCTGCGACGTCACGTTGGTGTCGCCCTTGACCGCGCTGGCTACACCCGGTCCGGAAGCGCCGGCGCTACCCCGAGCTGCTCTGCCCGGGCCCCTAACCGGCCGCTGGAGTTCAGATTGCTTGCATCTCACGTCCCTGTCCGGGCCCGAACACCACCCGCCTTGTGCCTTGCGCGCCCCGGCCGCAGTCGGCTGTTCCGGCCGTGGAGAACATCATTTGCGCGCAGCTCTAACTGCTTTGCCCCCCTCCACGTTTGCAAGGGCTGGTGGAGCATCCTTGGTGTTGAACTCCATAGTGTAGAACGATCGAAAAAAGCACCCTTGGTTCTTCTGCCACATGCACATAAATGTGAACTGTGGCACGCCCGTGTGTTAGCTGTTGGCTTGGGACATGCAACAATCACTGAAGTGGCCGAGAGTTTTGATCTCTGGTTCCAGTCACATGTTGCCAACAAACAGTTCTTGCATGAGTTGCAGCGGGAACGCCCCATGCGCCTCCTGCCGCGAAATGCTGGTCCTCCCCTTGATCTTCTGAGCCTGAGGAGATCTTGCTCCTGCACAGAAACTGCCTCATTCTCGGTTTGGGGAGCCAGCTCCAAATCCTCCTCAGCTTCAAGAAGAGGATGCAGCCCCCCGCGACGTGGGTTCCGGGCCTGTCCTGGGGTCATCCCGACTTTTTTCTCGCTGCTCTGACTGGTCATTGGTGATCTGTCTCGGTTCCTTCGTCTTCGGCGGGCAAGACTGGGTCCTGTTCATCTCGTGACAGGCCTATCCGAGCCAGAAGAGGCAAGGGGCTCGCAGGGTCCTGTTGGGCCGGTTGGCAAGGTTGTTCTCTGCCCGACGAGGTGGGTGAAGGCATGGACTGAGGTTGTGATGGACGGGCCTTTGGGCGTGGAGGAGTGGGAGGGCTTCGGATGTTTGCTCTTGTGGTTCTGACGCCGGGCTCGGTTGGGGAGTTAGGGGGTTGTCAGGTATCGTAGTGTGTTATATCTTGGACTCTTAAACTTGATATTTGTCTTCAGTTAGCTCTCAGCCGTCATAAAAAAGGATCTTATGAAGCGTCCAAGTTATGATAACTTTGGCCATGTTTGTGGACGGGGAGGATCATCCCCGAATAGGACACTGCCTTTGCCTGCGGTCATGCTCTCCCTCTGATTGGGGTCATCTGGATGGATCCAGAACCGGGGTTTGATCGTGCCAAGGCCTCACCACAACAGCTGGGATTGTCTTGGCAACGACTCTCGGATGTTTATGAAGTCTGGAAACCACAATTGCTCCAAGATGATGGATTAGGAGGGCACCCGGCTAAAGAGTTTGTTGTTTGGAGGGTCTTTCAGGGTGCGGTGGGTGGGTGCCATAGCGCATACCATTGAACAGTCCTTGAAACGGACACCTGTTTGGTCAAAGCTTGCGCTGGTGAAACTTTGCGTGCTGCGTCAGACGTTGTGGCGGCTTTCGGAAGATGAGCGTTCTCAGCATCCAGGTGTTCATCATTTTTCGTTCGAAATATTGCATAGCAGGTCTTGTTTGGCCTTCAGTGGCCTATCTATGTTTTGTAGGAGCTTGCGCTTGTGAAGCATTGCGTGCTTTGTCAGACGTCATGTTTTGATGATCGTTGTTCTGAACTTCAGACTTTGGCTTAGATTTAGGAAGGGGCAACGGATTCCCGCGATCAGGACATAGACACGGCCCGTGCGGACTTGGAGAGCTATGGAGGTTTTGAGTTGAGTACGTTGCCATTAGATCCCACAAGAATCGACAAGCTGACATACTTATTTGAGACGGGAAGATGCAAGAACTCTGCTGCGACATTTTACTGTGGGCCAGTCGACAGTGAAGAGCGGCTTGATCAAGGTGCAAATTTCCTTGCAAGGTGGAAAGACAAATATGCATCTTGTTTCTGACGCGCTCAGCGCGAATCCTTCACACGGGCTGTGCGGCCCAGATTAGATCAGGTCGAGACAAGCATGCCCACATTGCAAGAATCCTTAGGGATTTTGTTGGACAGGGGGGGCGACAATTCGTTCCCCTGGATCATTCCCTCCTGTGCGCGGTCGCTGATTGGGTCATTGGCCTTGCCCAAGGATGCAGTTTCAAGCTTCACCGGATTGAAATTTAAGACGGTCAGGCATCCAAAGTGATGACGTAGCACTGGCCGGCGTTGTGACGAGCAGGTTGTCACGAGAGGCCCCGATTGGTCTTTCAGCATTCCTTGGGATTGTAAAGCAACCCAGCTGCAGAAGGCACATGGCGCTGCCACCAGGCGCAGCAGACCATGTTCATGTTGCAGCGGGTGGAGGGCTCGGAACTGTTTTCGCATGTGTTCAATCTTTGGTCTTTCCTCACAACATAGCCTGAAGGGCAGTGACAGCAAAAATTGACCACGGAAATTATTCAAGAAACGCGGGGCGTGCTAATCTCAGCAGTGCAGCGGGGCTATTAGTTCAAGCCTTGGTGCAGAACTCCTTGAACTTGGAGGCGGTTGAGGAAGCACTTCGTGACCAGAAGGGGAACTACTTCAGGGAAATTTTCAACCGCATCAACGTCATGGCAAAGGACCCATAGTTTTTTTGGACGAAGGAAATGAGCAGTAGGGACTGCTCACCCCACAAGATGACTGGCAACAAAAATAAATCGTAGGTTGGAAAAAACGACCTTCTGAAAGATTCCACAGCCGACCTCACCGACTCCGGGCGATGACTATAACGCGGACAATGTGAGTTGGGCATTTGAAGATGTTGGATGGCATGGTTATTGTCAAGGCAGCTCTGGGCAGTGGCTGGAGACTGATGGCTCTGGTGTTTACTGAAGTCTGAGTTTACTGGAGCCTGACACCAAAAACAGCATCGAAAATTGAAAATACACATGCAACCTCGCATGTTTACGGGAACAAAAAGGGATGAGCGAAGTTCTTTCTTGTGCACATGAAGGGCACAAAAAGAGGCAAGAACGGCAAACACTTCCGACGTCCATCGTCATGGAACTCTACTACTTTACTACCCCCCTACAAAGGTGATGCCAACACAAGAAGTGATGGCATCCACCGGACCGGCATGGGGCAAGGGCGCTTCACTTGTGGAGGCCAAGGGCATGGTTTTCGTCAATATCCAAAAAGTACAACCGCAACCACCGGAAGATTTGAAAAGGAAGTGGGGGAAGCAGCATGTTCATGGTCGAAAGTTTTGCAACCGCCTACATGGTGGAACAGTGTCACCAGATGGCCGGCGAGAGCCACTGAGACTGTTGGTTCCTTTGGTGCCATACAACAAGTGCCACAAAAACGCTTTGAATTGACTGGCGTTGAAGGTTTTGCCCCAAAGACGATAGATGTTTCTTTCGTTTTGGCAACGGCAGATTGCACAGTTCAGAGAGCTAGCTACCTTTTGTTGCCTCAGCACGTGGGAGAGCAAAATGCCCAGCGGTGAAACTATATGGCCAACCAAATTCCGACCCTAGTTGTGGGGATCAATACATTGACTGTCATTGACTCGTCTAGAAACAATTCTTGATGTTGCAGGTGGTTGGCTTGTGATGACAGTGTGTTTCACGAGAATAAATAGGCCATCCATCAGTGTCATGATGACTACGAGTTTGACATCAGGATCTCTTTGTGTGGATTGGCCTCTAGGGCACTTTTAGTCATGGACCATACAGTATAGGTAAGCCATAGCTGCATCTGTCAAGTTTAGCTTCATGGAACCGTCCTCCTTGACGAAGTCGTCCCCCGAAGGTTCGAATGCTAGCGAACTGCGACGCGCGGTTCAGAAACAGTCATTCTTGAACTTGTTCTGCCTTGTTCTTACTTGGTTTCCATCACCCGAAGTCCGTTAGATACCAATCACTTCGACTTCTGAACTTTCTTGTCGTTCTTCAGGCGACCAGCTCACGTTCAAGTCGTGGATGGACGATGTCAGGCCGCGATAAAATGAGACCCGCAGCAAGTCTGGATGCACTTCTTTTACAAGCTGGATGGTATCCAGTACTTTGGCTACCGCCGGGAACGCGGAAAAATTTGGGGTCCTGAATGGAGTGGAGCTGGAAAAGTCGAGAACTTGACTGGAGCGCTCAAGCACAAACTTGACCGACACCTTCGAGGTGGCCATGCTCCAGTCCAATGAGTATGCGGAAAAGAAATGACGGATTCCTACCGATGTCATGAAGGGGCAACCTTCTCTATGGTCGTCCCTCAGTTCCGACCAAGAGTTCCAGACTGGGGAGTGCAATGCAATCCAAGTACCGAAAACTCTTGGACCTGAAGCCTAAAGAAACTCACCCAAACCACCAACACAACATGAGAGTGACGTTGCCTGTGAACTTCTACCCGGGCGATCTCGTGTACTACCGTAGATCACCCCAGAAAGTTCATTGCCAAATGTGTTGCGCAAGGGATTGAAGTGTCTTGGCAAAAACTGAACAAGGTGCAAAGACAAACCATGAAGGAAACAAACCAAGCCATGAAGGAACTGCCCTCGGCAAGGTTGATCCGGCATGGATCTTGCGGATGCGCTGGGTCCTTGTTTTGCAAGCAGCTGGCTTTGGACAAGTTAAACCAAAAACCCGCATCGTCATTTGGAATTTTTCAGATACAAAGTTACAACATTTTTGACCATTTTCCGCTTCAGGCAACTCCAAAACCAAAGTTGCTGCCTGGGCAAAGGGCAAGTTGTTCAGATCATGCGAGTTGCATACGGCTTGACAGTGGACTTCGGAAGTTCTACATTTTTACTTTGACGACAAGATCTTGCAAGAGTTGGGCCTTGAACGTTGTTTGATGGAGCCTTGCTTGTGGCGATGCCGCGCCGAGGTCCAAGGAACCGCTGGCATGATTGGAAGCCATGTTGACGATTTAAAGAGATCGGCCTTACAACCCACCAGCTTTGCAGTGAACTTGATGAGCTGGCCACCGAACAAGCTGAGAAGCGTGTGCCGCCCGTCGTTAATTGCAGAGGCTCAGGCCTGAGCAGGACCTCAGGGTTTTGAGGACGCAGTGGCAAGAGATGCTTGGAAAAACCATCGGCGCCATTCGGCTTGCAGAGTTTGCTTGCATGAGCGTGAGTTGTAGATGCAAAAGCATTGTTTCATGCTGCAAAGAATGGATCGTTGCAGACGAGTGCCTTCAGTTCGAAAGATAAACACTCAGTTTACTCAGTTTTTGAAGTCTTTGCCTTGGTTCAAGACCTTGAAACTCAAGGCACGGAGCTGCGATGGTGCAACTCAGATGCGCAGCTCGCAGACGGCTTTGCAAAGGGATAGAGTGATTTTTTCAGCAACAACACTTGGAGCCCCCACTGTGTTGGAAACTTCGCAAGTGCCCGAAGGCGTACCAGCAGGAAAGCGCACAAAATCTTGATGATGACCCACCAGCCTATGCCACAATGACCGCCCTCCTGTACTCTAAAAGCTCAACACATTCTGCGGAAGGCTGTAGTGGGCGTGCAAGAATCTAAGGTTCACAAGTGTTTGTTTCTTGTGTGTTCAGCTTTCTGGCATTAACGTTGAAGCATTTTCGTCGTGTCCGTGCATTCTCAAGCGGTGAATCCGGCCAAACTCCTTTGAACAGAGGCAGGTGCTATTGCCGCCGCCATGGGTGGTGAAAAGCGCGCTGGTTGGGGCGTGCGGCTTCGTGAAGCCTTTGCATCGTTCGGTTTACCTACTGGAACTTGGTTGCGTGTTGCGCCTCTTGAGCAAAGGCTGCCATTGAATCTGCAACGCGTTCCCCTCACACATGGATCGATATTGATGGCTTGGTGTTGCTGCCAGTTATTTTCTGGGCCCCCTGTTTGCGCATGCATGTTTGCTGTTTCCCAATGACGCGTACAAAATTCTCACCAAAATTGAAGTGACTCTTGCCAAAGAATTGGTGCGCAGGCTGCTGAGCACTGTGCAGAGCCCCACCGCATTTGAGCTCAAATTAGGCCGACATGAAGGCAAACACATGGCCGGCAAGCTTAGCTTGCAAAAGTAGGCTACATAATTTTTTAATGAGCAACCCGTTGTTTTGAGTGACAAACGCTGTTCCGCAGTTTTCGCATCAATCAGTCACTTGGTACTGCGCCCACAAATTGAGTGCAGATGCGCTTCGCATGGCATTGTTTCCGGCGAGCCATGTCGTGGTGGTGGGCGGAGGGTTGGCTGGAATGGTTGTCGCCAACCAGGTTCCTGCTCACATGTGTTTATTAAGATTTGTGGCTTAAGTCTGATTGTTAATGCTGGTGCATTTGCTTTGTGGGTTTTGATGGGTGAAGGGCGATTGCATTTCCATAGAGCAAACCAACATTAATCATTAGACAAGACAATGAAAGGAACGCAACCCTTGCGCAAACTCAGCCGCATGGTGTTGCAAATGTTAACTCTAGGCTGAGGGGGGCTTATCTTCGCGATGAAAAAGGAAATTGGATGCGGATGTGGGTGCTACCTATCCGATGTGGGTGTATTCTTGGGCACAAGTGGACCCACGATTGACCAGCAAGAAAACCATCAAATGCCAGATGCCATCGTACAAGTGTACCCCCAGCAGCCCTGAGCGCGGTGTTGGATGAGCGTGGCCCACACCTCCATGGCGGTTCCCTCATGGCCTATGCTGACAAGCGCGTCTCTGAAGGGAAGCTGGCTGACTTCAGTCATCGCCTCAAACGGGTTTTGACAGCAACCTTTGGTCTGGAAACTTGCGTGAGGTGACGGGTCCAACTTTTAGCGTGTTCGAACGTGCCTGATTTGAGTAGTCAGCGCTTGCAATGAACAACATGCCTGAAGATAAAGCAGGGCATTGCCATATACGACAACTAGGATGGCATCCACGTCGGCGGTGCCAAAGCGCTATAGATCTCTTGCGCTGGAGATTGGGCAATGTAGGTCAAGGGATCATGATGTGTCGCCCTCAATCATCGCGTGACTCAGCCCCGATGCGGTTGTAATGCGCAGCCATTTCACGCTTTCCCAATTTACAAGGCCCTTGCGCGTCCTCCTGCGCGTGAAACTTCGGCCGCGTTGGTGTCGCAGGCATAGAGAGCCGCGGTGTTTTTATTTTGATATGTTCATAAGTTACGATTCTTCCAAAGTCATGAGACCATAAGCTACTGAAGATGGTTCACTGGAACTGATGCTTGAGATGGCGATGTTGATGACGACGAAAATGACAATGACGACAAGAGTATCTAGGGCAATGACGACGGACGCGACAATGACAACAACAGTATCGACCATGGTGGCGATCATCAGCAAGGACCGACACTAACATATTGCAGAACGACACTAAGAGGACCATAAACATATCAGAAAACAGGGTGACATCGAATTTGATGATGATACTGTGATAAAAGGTAAAAGGAATGTGTTGAAAGGACGACTTTGGTCAATGTTCATGACTCAAACTTTTCTGGAGTCTGCGGGGTCGTATGCTCAAGCAAGCTCAAGTGTCGCTTCGTCGTTACTGCTGTCAAACCGACAACATCCTTGTCGTCATGTTGTCATTCCGTCCCCGCCAGAGATAAGGCCAGATATAACGGCAGATCCGGGCATATATTGGGTCTTGTTTTCGGCGGCGACGGAAGATTGAGTGACGACAGGCTGTCGTCATATCGTTGTTGTTGTTGTTGTTGCTGCTGCTGCTGCTGCTTTTGTTCCCCACATGTTGTATCCGCCCCGCCCTCCGCCTCCTCCTCCCGCCCTCCGCTTGCCACCAACAAACTTCCACCAACCAATTGTCACCAACCAATTGTCATCAACCAATTGTCATCAACCAACTGCTACCCACCAATTGTCACCAACCAATTGCCACCAACCAATTGCCGCCCAACAATTGTCACCAACCAATTGTCACCAACCGATTGCCACCCACCAATTGCCACCAACCAATTGCTACCAACCAATTGCCACCCACCAATTGTCATCAACCGATGGTCATAAACCACTTGTCATCAACCAATTGCTACCAACCAAATGCCACCCACCAATTTTCACCAACTAGTTAGTTGTCATCAACCGATTGTCATCAACCAATTGCTACCAACCAAGTGCCACCCACCAGTTGTCACCAACCAATTGTCATCAACCGATTGTCATCAACCATTTGTCACCAACCAATTGCCACCAACAAATTGTCACCAACTACTTAATTGTCGCCAGCCAATTGTCACCAACCAATTGTCATCAACCGATTGTCATCAACCGATTGTCATCAACCAATTGCTACCAACCAATTGCCGCCCACCAATTTGCTACCCACCAACTGTTACCAACCAATTTGCGTCTGTGCCGCTGTGATTGTAGTACTTTGGTGTTTTTTGGGGGGTCGGATGTACGCCCCGGTGCTGGCCGGGGCTGCCCTGGCGTCGCTGGGTCTCCGCCGCTGTGATTTGTGTGGCATTTGTGTCTGCGCTGCTGTGATTTGCGTGGCAGGCGCGGTATTTGGTGCTCTCCCAGGGGTCGGGTGTACGCCCTGGCGTCGCTTGGTCGCCGCAGCCCTGCCGGTGTGATTTGCGTGGCAGTCGCGGTACTACTGCGCTCCAGCAGTTTCGCATGGGCCCACTGAGCAAAAACATTGTGACAGCACAGCAGCCGTAGCAGTATCAGTATGAATCTATGACAAAGAGTCTTCAGTTTGTATGCTTGCGTCTGCCCGGCCATCGCTGGCGATTTCCTTGTCGTTTCCGCTCTTATTGACCGTCAGTGCCGTCATTTTGTTTCGTGAATGTCGTCATTGTTGTGAGGCCTGCTGCCCAAGTGCAGCAGCGCGAGCCCTCCTCCCCCCTTGCCCCCTTGTTTATATTTTCAGACCTTGTTCTTGCATTTTTGAGGAAGCTTTGACTTGGTGCAGCTTACAGACAGGTGAAAGCTGCCTCTTTGGCAAAAAACTTCTTGTGTGTTGTGCTCCTTTTTTCTTCTTGTGGTAATAAAGAGGACGGTGGGGCCTTCGCGTTTTCATCCAAATGATGAATCTGAAGAGCCCCGTCCTACATACCGCAGGTTGAGGTTTGTCAACCCATTCCACTTGGATGATGTCGAGGTGGCTTCAAGATCTGCAGCTTGTGGGGCTGCGTGTGGAGTTGGGGTTCACAGAGTACGCGTTTCTCCTGCTGCACGTTGTTTGCGCGGGACAGGTGAATCACTGAGGACAGCGGTTGACCCTGGTACGGCAGTTTGTATTGATTGCCGAAGCACCGGGCGCATAGTGATGTGCTCCGGTCGTTGCCCCACTTGCATGGAGAGGGCTTGAACTTTCTGTTTGGAAACAGAGCGGCTAGCGCTATATCGCGTTTATGTGCTTGGAAGCGAGTGTCAATGTTGACCCCGCGGGCTTCTCAACTAGTGGGGCAGGGCCAAGCCATCACTGTTGCTGAGCGTGATGCAATGCGCCGAAGTTTGGAAAACAAATGCGCGGGAACTTTGGTGACGTTGGCCGCACTGCATTCCATTCCACTTTTGCAGCGAGTCAAGGCTCAGCAGGATAGCAAGGCTTGGGATTGGATTTCTTGGAAGAGGTTGCTGAGTGGAGTGAAAAGGCGGTGACACCTATGAAGGGCCGTCGGAAGACAGATCCCCATGAAACCTTCATGGAAGCAGGGATATATATGCTGCGGCGTTTGCTGATGCCGCCCCCCACGGCTATCCGATAGGGAACCGCTGAGGCGAAATGTTTCCTGCGGCAAAAAGGAAAATGCACTCGGACCAACTGCCGCTGGAAGCACCATTGTGTATTGCGCGGGTCGGCAGAGCACCAGGCAGCGAGTTGTCCAGATGCAGGCAAGCCGAGCAGCAAGCGAAAAAAGGGGCAGGGCTGACTAGATGTCGCTGCAAAAAGCCAGGCGGTTAGCTGCGGAACCATTCTCCGGCATCCAGTGAACTGCGCCTGGCGCGCATGATTTGTTGACGGATTGAGGGGGGGCAGTCCCCGAGGCGGCGGGCTTGGTTCCACTGCAAACTGGCTCACTCCACACGTGGGGGTCGATCTACTTTTGAGGCGAAAAACTTTTGAGAAGCTGACCAACCTTTATGGGGTCTTGTGCATCGCTTACGTGCCCATGTTGCCAGCGGGGACGCCGAGCTCCTACATGTGAGACAGGAGCTGGTCAGTTTTTTGCAAGGGCGCAGCTGTTCTTGTGATTCTTGTGATGCAGAGATCACGCCGGGCCAACCTTTTCTTTTGAATGCTTGGCATGCGCTAGGCCAGGTGACTGGGGATGTGGATAGCAAATGGCCGCAATTACTCGAGGCAGGTGTGCCCATTGGAATTTTCAAGCGCGTCGATTTCTCTGGGAACCAGTAGCGAGCGATGCCGATATTGAACAGGAGCAGCTACCGCGAACCTTGGGCGAGTGCACGCAAATGCCCAGAGACACTTGGGAATTGATTATAACAAAGACTTACGCGCCGGGCATCTGCGTGAGCTGGTTGGTGGAGTCCTTTGGGGCGAGCGCGTGGCTGGCAGTTTGATCTGTGTTCTTTTGAAGTTCGTATTCCCGAGTCAAAAGCGGCCAAATTCCTGCAAAATTTGCACGCGCTTTGTCATAACCTAGGGAAGAAGGTGGAGCGGCGACTCGTAGAGCGCATGGTGAGCATGCTGCTTTGGTTTGCTGGCAGTTCTCGTTGGCTCAAGCCGTGCCTAGACCCCCTCTACCGCCTTTTGAAAAAGCCACGGGCATACAACTGTTTGGCAATTGGAGAGATTGTGCGTTCATTGGATGCAGAACCGCGTGTGGGGTCACGCGTCACATCATGCGATGCATGTTTGGGGTGGCAGTTACATTCAGTGAGCAATTGCCTGTCAAAAAAGCTGCGAGCCCGTGCGTTCAGAGCCCTCGACTTCGCAGTGGGCAGATTAGTGTAGCGTTCTTCGACTATGAGAACCCGAACACAACCGCCTGCAAAGAATCAGCGTGGGCAGCGCAGTTGTTCTACAATGCCCTTATATAATTGTTACATTGGCTGTCAGTTGCGCATTCGTGAGCATGAATGGACCAATTGCGCTGCAGATGCTTCTGCCACAGAGCATGAGGCTGAAATTGGTGGGTGGTGGATTCCAGACGGCTTGGAATCGATCCCAGCTAACGCGCGGTGGTTTTGCTTTCAGTTTATCAAAGCCCAGCTGCCGTGCTGGTTCAGCTCCCCAGGAAGCTCTTCGCTGCAACCCTGCATTGCAGCAGCGTTGCAGCGTTTGAGGCGTTGGCTCAATTAGTGTTGTTGGTGCTTCGTTGTGACGAGTTGCCGCGACGCGGGTCTTTTGTGCTTCGGTTCGCCCAGCTGACGGACAACCAGAGTGTTTGCCGTTGTCGTATGTGCTGCAAGCTCTTGGGTTCTTTTTGTGTCTGCTGGGGGTATCACTCGCTTGCAGTCACGTGGCTGGTGTGGGAAATGTGTTGATGCTCTCAGCCACAACGCAGTGCCGCCCGGTAGTTTGGTTGTGACTGAGGTGTTGTCACGACCTTGGTGTTGCAAGCCGCATGCGGCTTGGCGTATGCGTGCAGATGACCTTGAGCAGGTGGTGCCTGCAAGGCTGGCTTGGCCCTGTGTGTCAACCATTGCACAAGAAAAAGGGTGCCAGGGGTGTGGGGAGGGTTTTGTTGTTGACATCCGAATTCAGTTGTCGTCGTGTTCGTCGTCCAGCTGCGTTTCTATCCGTCGCTTCTTTCGTCGCCATGTGTTGATACCTTTGCCGATTTTTCAATACGCCTGCCGCCTAATTCATAAGTATCTAACGCTTGCTGGCAACATGATGTTCCATTCAGGTCAAGAGTTGAACAATTTTTTTGCCTCCTGCAGGTCCTAGAGCGAGGAGGACGTGTTCTGGTCCTGGAGAAGGCTAGGCTCATCGCGTTCAGTTGCCGGAAACCTGGATTTTCAGGCAGTCATGTAGCAATCTCACGTCTAGCGCCGATGTGGCAAAACGCAACTAGGTAACAACATTGCTTTCATGGCCCGCGTAGCGGAGTTGTTTTAGCGCAAAGTGCGCGAAGGGCGATTTAGATTACCAAAGCGCCGCATAATTCGCGCGCCAAGACAGTTCAAAAGTATGCTTGTGTAGTTTGGGTCGCTTTGAGGCTTAAATTTTTTCGGGCACCCGTGATTCAGGTCTTGCGTACCTTTTTTCATCCATGTGACGGTTTTTTGTTTGCTGGCGAATCCACTGCCTAAACTCACTTTGCAGTGGAACCAGACCTATGGGTTCCACCGTTCCACATGTGGATAAAGGCCTCCCTGCTTCAACTTTACCGTTGCATGAAGAAGGAACGTGCTCAACTGCAGCAAAAGCAAAATCAAATATTCCAACGTCAAGCGCCTAAGCAACGCAAGAACAAACTTTGAGATGGAACCTCGCAACCAACTGGAAAACGGATATGGGAGATGAAGCCCTCAAACAAAAACAAACCAACAAACTCAAGAGACTAACAAATTGCATCGAACAGCGATTTGCCATTCAAAAAGCCGGCAGCTCAACTGTGCACCGCATCTGAATCCCACTGCGTGACAAGAACACGGGATAGTGCAATCAATGCGCCGCAGAAGAGACGACAGCGCAACCGCTGCAGGAACCAGAGTCGCAAAGGACTTGTTGGTGTAGATGACAAAACAAGAGAGGAACTTCTTGGAGGGACATTGGACTACCTGAGCGCGAGCGCATCCCGAGCTGGTGTGCTTACCCTCCTCCTGACATACTTGTTGTTTTTCGTCCAAACTTTGAACATCCAGAGTGTTTAAACTATTCTTCGTCTCCGGTGGCAGCTTTGTTGAATTTTGCCTTGTTCTTTGTCTCTGTTACAAGGCGCCATTCTGTGGTGGCAATTCTGCAAAGGCCACTGCCGGCATCAACTTTCCGAGGGAGAAGGCCTGTTTTGTTTGCTTTGGGTGTGATGATTCTATGACCTGTCAGGACGATTCAGAGGCTTGCTTCAAAGATGATACGCTTGGTGCCGGTGAGACCAACGGCGAGCTCGCTAATTTGCTTTGTGGCCTGGGCGAAGTGTTGCAAACCGTTTTGTTGTTTAACCTTGGTACTGGTGCTATTGGTACTGATGCCACGATGGCCCAAGTTCCGACTATTTTAGGGAGGTTACACAAACTCTGGTGAAACGTGTGAAACTGAAGCGAACACTTGGGTCAGAGAGCAGAGGGTCCGAGTTTTGTGTTTCTCACGCTCTTTCCCACCATGCTTGTTGTTTTGGATGGTTTTCCTGCAGGGTTCCAGGTACTTGTAGATAGTAGATAGACAGATAGATAGATAGGTAGATGGATAGATAGATAGTTAGATAAATAGGTTCTTTTTGGATTTGGGTCGCCGAATCCGGCACAAGATCCAATAGGTGGACAGCATCAAAGCTTCTACTGCAATGCAGTCCAAGTTCATGCATGGGTGGCTTGCTTCAAAGCAGACTCAGTCAGCTGATTTTTCAAGTCACGCTGCGCATCCTTGCGGCCGGTCCCTGCAGCTAGCAGCTAGCGCCAGGGTAGCATGGGCTACGGGACAGCAAGTTCTTTCCAGCCAAGCTGACAGGACTGTAGGCTCAGAGTGCGCCGCCAAGGCCATGGCCTCTTGGGCAACAAGGAGGTGGGCTTCTTCAATCGGCAGCTCTTCAGCAGCAGGCAGCAGGCAATTCATAAATTGCACCGCATCTGATAGCAAAGGCTGGCAGTACATGGCGTTGGTGCACCAAGCAGCCGCCGCATAGCTTCATATCCACATCCAAGACACGGGAGCGTCGGAGGTGTCTGACATTTGATGTCTTTTGCCAAGACACGAAAGACTGAAGATGTCAGGGACAGGCGCAAGTGCTTGATCAAGGCCTTTCAACCCAAACTTCATCTGGCCGCATGCGGAGCAATGGACCTGAAGGAAAGCAAGGACCTCAGCATCAAATCTTTCACAGTAGAAACCATGTGCTCGGTGTTCCTGAACCACCTGAGTGACCCTGGTCAAAGGCGGGCAGCGGTCAGTCCAGCCCTATACGGAAGCCACATCGCACCACTTTTCAAGTAACGACCCATATGCAAAAACATGAGCTTGCTTCCAGCAGTGAAGTACGCGTACATGCCCATGCAACCAGACCAGGACTTGATCAAGGACTGTAGCGAGACTTTTCCAGCCAGGCAGTCAGGGTGGCGAGAACTGGTGGCCTTCATCAACGACTGGATGTGCCCCTGAATCTCAACGAGCCGATGCCAGTGGGCGTTGAAGCAACATGGTTGCGCCCACTAGGAAAGCCTGAAGACGTTCACAAATGTCGTGCTGCATACCGTTGCCCCAGGCATGCACATTTGCTGAAAAAGGCCTCCCAACAACATTTCCTCCAGGCCAAGCTTCCCATTGAATTTACTGCGATTGCGGCGTTCTTTCCGGATCTTGTCCATCAAATCTTGATTCACCAGGAGTGCTGCCCACACCTCCTTGCGTAGTCTTTCACAATCGCCATACAGCAGCTGCCAAGAATGTTGAGGTTAAAAAGTCACAGTGTCCGAATTGGATATGCGTAACCAAACCTCTCCAGGTGGCAAAGCTGTGCCCGCAATGCCTCCTTGAAAATCTCGAAGCAAAGTTTTTTTTGGTTGGTGAGTCTTGTGTTGTGCCCTTGAGAGACGTCTGTTGAGTTTTTCGTGTGAACTCAGAGTCTTGTCGCAGTATAGACATTGATGCTCCCACAGCTGCCTCAAAGAGGGGAAGCACTCGTGTATTCTCTTGAGGGTGGAATGGCAGTTGCTGTAAGAAGTTGCTGGGGGACAGGCGTTCTCGAAGTCGTTCAAGCCTGGAGAAGTAGGCGGCCCAGGTGTCCTGCAAAGTGCTGCATTGGTAGTTGAAGTCGGCTTCTATTGAAGAGCTTCTATGTGGGTGAGTAAGTTTGCTCAAAGCGATAAAAGGAGATGCGTGATCCAAATAGGTGTGGGCATCCACCGCCTGAGGCCATGTGCCAAATCTTCGTGCTCAAGAGCATACCTTACTCCATCATGGCGACCTTTTGGAACCAGGGTTCGCACAAGTGGATGATCTGGCAGACCGCTGGCAACCCCGGAGGACATTGTTGAGTCGAGGGATGGTCAGCCACACTCCAGTTGAAGTCTTGTGTAAGGTCCGCTTCAAGACAATTTCGGCCTCCGAGCCAGCAAGTCCAAAGAAGAAGAACCGTTTTCTGTGTATATACCCAAAAACTCCTAATGCATCAAGAATGCGACCAACCTGGGAAAGTGCCACCTGTAGATCATGTTCGTTCTCAATCAACCATTTTCCATTGATGTCATCCGCATTTGGCTAGGAAGGTGTTCCAGAGGTTTTGCAACCTTGTCGATTAGTGCAGGTTGTTTTGCTTCACGTCACAGGCAGCTCGATGAAGCCATTGTTGAAACACTGTGATTAGCTCTGGCGGACAGGCAAAGAACTGAAAACATTCAGCTTGTTGACAAGCCAAACGTATCTGCAAACAGAAGTGAATAGCCATCATCAAAGATTCAGGTACGCCATGATTTGGCATCTGAGTTAAGAGAGGGTACAGGACTTGTTTTGCAAGTTCAACATAGCCTCCAAGGACGGCCTTGCCGATGCCGCGTGTGAGGAATGGGCCTCAGATCACCAGTGCCACCAGGTCCATGGACGGCGCTATTTTGGCCAGGAGTGCAAGTGGAGCATTTTACAAATGTTGGTACTTCTGCCTGTTAGGTCCAGTGAGTGTCAATCCAATGTGAGAGCCATTAGTGTAGGCGCCAACGCAAGAATGAGGAGTGTGGATGGAGCAACTGCTTTATTGACAGGAACGCGCGCAAGATGCCACAGAATATCGTCTTCTTGTAATATAGCTGACACACAATGCAACTCTGTCTCAGTTGAGGCTGTAGCCGTGAAGATGTCAGTGCAGCGTTGGAAGAGAAGGTCTCATTCCTGTGCTGCGTCTGGTAGTCCTCCAGAAGGCTGGCGAAAACGTGTTGTCCTTCTTGGTTGTTTGGGACGGGGTTCGAAAGGTCACTCTGGCAGCATGAGGAGCACGATCAATCACCTCCTTCACTCTGTCGTGTTTCCGTTGCTGACAATCAAAGTTGAAGGTGTTTGCGCAGGCCAGACGCGAAAGGCATGTGACAATGTGAAATCTGATGCAAGGACTGTCGTCTAGCCATCTACCGGTGCTTCAATACAACGATCCAGCATGGCTAGCAAAAGTTGTGTGACGCAACTTGACTATGTCTTGGATTGGCCTGGCTACATCAAAGTCATCCGCGTATTCAAGTACTTGTTGTGCTTGACGGGTGGCCAACAAGGCAGAGTTCTTGTGGCCCTGTTGGCGCCAGACCTTCCAGCCAGTTAGTACAGTGTTGAAAATAGGGAGGATGGGAAATTCTCTGTTGCGATCCCAAGGGCTAAGGAATGAACAAATCACGCAATGGCCTAAAATCTTGATCTCCTCATTCTGCAAGGAACGGACCAATTGCTCCAATGGCCAATCCGGCCTGGCCAGGACGCGGCAAGTCCAGGGTGCCCTGTACCATTTGGCATCAAGCATTGACAGATCGGTGTTTGATATTCAGCGCGCAAAGTTCCACAGTTCCAGGAAAGGCGCGTGTCTCGAAGCTGATGGCGGCTTTCATGGGTCTACGTGGTCAGGTCGTTGATCGCAGGGATTCCCCTTCTTTGTCCTCGAGTTGTCGGAGAGGCAAACAAAATCGGGCATGTTGCTGCTGTGCAATGGGCGTGTGGGTGTGATTGCCTGAGGCCAACGGCGGCCAGGCACCGTGCAGCCGTGCAGCTGCAACGCAAAAAGAAAAATGCGTGTAGCGCAGAAGGAGGCAGAGGGGACTGTCCATGAGTTTGTCTTGAAAACGGTGAACTGTTTGTAAGAACAAACTAATTAGGCATGATTGGTGGTTGAGTGATTGGGCCAGCTGGTCACGGTTACCATTCTTGAACCACACTGTGAAGACCCCGCCCAAGAATGGTGGGCGTGGGTGTGAGTGAGAGCCTCAAAGGCAATGGCGCCCAGTAACGCCAAAAAAACGAGAAGCTACGCGAAAAGACTGTTGCAGCCCAGCTGTCTTGCAAACACCAAGGTCGCAACAGCTTGCCAGACATGAGCTGGCTGGTTGACAAATTTGATTTGGATTTTTCAGTGGTGTCGAAGCTGTCGTGCCACTCGCGCGCCCGGACAAGCAGGACAGAACAGGTTCCAGATTCCAGATCTTTTTGAGATTGTCTTAACTCACCAAACGCCCAGACCTTGTCCACCTGTGTTGTCATCTTTTTGTCGTCTGTCTTTTCCTGCTCTTGTCTTGTCGGTTTCTCGGTCATGTTCAAGCGGTGTCTTGGTCAGGTTTTGTTGATATTTCGTTCATGCTTGTGTGGTCGGCGATGTTTAGGTGTCTCCGTCATGTGTAGGTGGTATCTCGCTCATGTGCAGGGTTTTGCTTGCGCCGCCACCATGTTTTTTAAACATATGTTGGTGTTGGTGGAAGTTCTTTGAGTCATGTTCGACATGCAAAAATGGTGTTTCTTGTAGCGGAGTATCGTTCGTGTATGTTGGCGGATGTACATACATTAATTGCTTCGATGTCTATTTCCTGCATGCTGCCGTAAAACATCATCTCTGCTTTTATTATTCGCTGGGTTTGCGCGCTTCTATATATAACTGTGCGCCAGCGCATCCAAACCTGTATCTTCCTGGCGCCAATATTTAAAGAGTGTGTCCTCTTTGCCCGCTGCAATCAGTGCACCTTTTGTGCACAAATTGTTCGTCCTTCGGTACATTTTCCTTCTCCTTTGGTGGTTCTATTTTCCTGTCATCTGCATTGACTTGGTTCTGCAGGAAAAAAGACCATGCGCAGGCACTTGAACAGACAATTCGGCCATCAGCGAACATTCCTTTAGTGCTTCCTGGTCTATGAAAAGTACGCGATGTTTTGGATATTGTTTTTTGTCATTTGTTGCATTGTCTAGATTAATTGCCCTCTTTTTGTCCTCTCATCCTCTTCTCCTCCTGTTGCCCTCTTGTTGTCCTTCTGCTGGTGCCCAGATGACAGCGTCGCAGCAGGTAGACGTGACACCACTACGCGCAATCAAAGGGCCCAACGCGAGAAAGCAATTGCGCACGCGCAAACTTTGTGTGGCACCTAGTGGGAAAGCGCCAGCCGGCAAACCCAAAGACCGCAATACCGCGGGCAGCCTGTCAGCGTGTAGACATGAGAGAGCGCGAGCGTGCGCTACAAAACCGTGACGCATTAGCAGCACGACTGCAGAAGGCAACGCCCGAAGCCGATGTCCTCTCCTTGTCCTGCTGTCCTCTTCTTGCAGGGTTCTCTCGTAGGAACCAAGGGGTTCAATAGTGCATCCTTTGCATCACCAAGTGGCCATGTTGTGCATGGTTCTTCCCCAGGAAACATGGAAGTGGTCAGCTGTAAAGACGGCAGAGCAGGCGTGCCACCGCCATAAAGACCTCAACGAAGAAGGCAACGTGTGGTATCAGCAAAGGACGGTCTTCTGTAAGGAAAAGGGGCGCCAGCAAAGGAGGGCGATCTTCTAGGAGCTGGCCAGGTCTGCCAAGCGACTATGTTTGCCCTGCTGTAAAGAGTAAAGCCAGTTCTACCTTGACAAACCTAGTGCGCTGCATGAAAGAGCCGCGTGGACGGCATTCTGCAAGCCGGCGCGTTTCGTGATTGCAGCGGAGAATTTGTGCGCAGAGCACAATGTAAGAGGTGCAGGGACGAAGTGCTGGATTGTTGTTGTTGTCGTTCTCAGTGTCTCTGGTTTTCGTTCCCTCCCTTCTGAGGTTGCAATCTTGTCGGTCCTGTCCTTCTCCTTTTCTTCTATTGCCTCCTTTGTTGTCCTTCTTCGGGTCTTCATCTAGCCGGCCATGATTCATTTACCGGCTAAACAGCAAAAACTGCATTCAAGGCCTTCTCTAATTGGTCTTTTTCTCGCTCAATCTCTTGGCACCGCTTGCAGTCAAAATTTCCTGTAGAAAAGGGAGTGTCACAGGTGTCAATCTTGTCAGATCGTGATGGTTGGCTGCTCCCAACCAAGCTCCCATTTCGATACCAGATTGGCCGCGGCTGCCAGCTTATCTCCGCTCATACTCCTGTCGTCGTTTTGTTTTTCTCTTCTTCTCCTCCTCTTGTTATCCTTTTGTTCCTTGGCGTGCTCCCCTCATGTTGTCCTGTTGTCCTTTTGCCGTTTCTTTTGTGCGGGCAGCTGTTTGGCATCATCAGGACCAAAGATTCGACACCTGGTATGGCAATTACCTATGCTTTAATGCAGATGGTGGAGAAAGTTGCTGAAGTAACTAGGTGCAGGAAATTATGCAAGGGGCCAGGTTGAAGGCCGGATGGCGTGGTTTGCAATTGTTTATTTTGGTTGGACGTTTCAGTGGCATACCTTGTTCATTGCGGCTTGAGGTTTCGGACCGAGCTCGGCTTGTGACAAAGGCGGAGGTCTTTCAGCTCTTATTGAGGGATGGGAATGTTGTCGGTCTTGCGCTCAATGCGTGCAAATCCAGGGCCTGCACGTGCGCGTAGGAATCACAAACACTTTTTTGTAGGGCCAAGAAGAGGCATCGGAGCACTGGTGTTTGGACTGAGGTTGCCAGTACCGGAAGTCTGGATGCTCCAGCAAAGAATACGGGCCCGTGGTTCTTTGCACAGGCTTGAGCCCTGTGAATTATATTATATATGTGAGGTTATCAGCCCTTTCCTCCAACGCCTGTTTTGCTCAAGAGAACATGCTGCTGCCACTATGTTGGTGACATTTGAGCACACACCAAAGCCAGTAGAAACAGGAAGTTGAAGCTGCACCCACTCCGAGACAGCCTAGAAGTCGGATCGGGCATGTTTCCTTGTCAAGCACCCCAATTGCAAATCGGATGAAGAGAATGCTTTGGTGCCTCCTTGCAGTTCTTTGTGCCTTGGTCGCATTGTGGGAAGTGTGACAAGTCTTCGAAAATTGAGGCAGTCGATATTCGCGGCTTTTGAACTGTGGATGACCTCGGTATATTCAGGTGCCTTCCACACAAGTGGGGAGTGTCAAGACGACAGTTGCAGCGCAGATGTGGCGAAGGCAATACTTGTAGCAAGATTCTTGACGCAAAACACGCATTGCCATTTTTACTGTAATAGAGTGCAGATGTTCCTCACATTCTGGCTACTTGCGGTCACTGCTTCAGTGCTTCAGTTTCCTGCGTTTGATTTCAATTGATTCTTGCAACTATTTTCACCAAAGTGTTCACGTAAACATGTTTGCAGGTCAATTCCTCCACTGCAAGTCGCTCAAGGTGCGATTCATGCCTTCTTTTGTGCATCTCAAAGATTGGTGTTCAAGGCCGGTGCTCGGCCCCATGATGTTCCTTGTTCTTTGGGGGTTTGGACAGGATAAGACGAACTGGTGCAGCTTTTTTCATCGAAAATCGCTTGTCTAACAGATCCTGGTATGCGAGAAGTGGCTGTGAAGTGTGGAGAGTCAGCATGATCGTGCAGTGAATAGTTCTCCGTTTTACAACGATGAGATGAAGCAAACAGCGGAATTGTAGCAAGGACGCCTGAGGACGCCACTATTATGTCTTAAACCTTTTGTCGTTGACGAGGCTGTTGCATCTCACAGAGTATATATAGGAAACGGGAGGACCCCAAGCCATCTACATGTTGCACCAGCGAAACTAGACTGTATGCACCGTATGTATGCACAGCAAGTGGTGTTCTGAGCAGAATTTGCTTAGGAGCAAATATTGTGGACACATTACCTATATATTATATACATGTATATATATATATATATATATGCACTTTCGACCCCAAAGATCACCCGGTTAAACTTTGATTTTCCCGGAGCTTTGAATTTAAGCAGTGAATGCGGGGCATGCTTTGCCCCAGTCTTCACTGCGGCTGATGGCTGAGGCTCTGAGGTGAACGGCTTTGTGGCCTTTGCCGCCCTACAGTTTTGAAATCTAACGCTAGCTGACTACACACGCCCGGCTGCAGAGAGAGGGGTCAGCGCCCTTTTTTTTGAGTTGTGTAGTGAATGACGAGAGGTCGAAGCCGTTCAGAAAGGAGGATGACACGGCCACTGGAGGATTGGGACGACCAATGTAAGGGATCCAAACCATGGCCAAGTGAAGGGAGAAGGAAAGTGAAAGGATCGCCGGATCGCCCAAGAGGAGACAACGCCGAGAAGTAGAAGGGTCAAGGTGTCAAGGAGTGCCTTGATTCTTCTGGAAGATAACTGATGGAGCAGAGTCAAATCGAGGAGAAGCCTTTGAGGAGTGAGCGGTTCGTCCTGCCCTGCACAGAGCCTGCTAGGGTGCTGGTTGCCCACAGAGTTGCTTGCTGGAAGGTGCATGTGCTTTTTTCCCCAACAGCGGAGCTTCGGGGTCTTCGCGCACGGTGCCGAGTCGGCGACCTGTGAGAAGTGATGGGTAAAGTAGGCAGGCACGTGTTGAGGAGGGAAAGCCTCACAGAGCAAAGCTGCGGTCGCTGAGAGTAGATTATTATAAAACGCGTTCGATTTGCCTTGTCTCTCCAGCGTGACGTGCGCAGCCATTCGGCGGTGTTGGAAGTGGTTGAATGAGGTCTCTGGGAACACTCCCCCAGCTCGCATGTTTGTAAAAACGATGGCCCAGCCGTCCTTGCTAGTATGCAACTTCCATCGAACTATGTCAACTGTCACTTTCGCTGAATCTCCTATCATTTTTTCCTTTGCTTGAATCCACTAGAACGATCAGGTCAGGGGGCCTCGAGTTTTTGACAAATCTGACCTTGCAGAGCAGAAAAACAAGGTGTTTCATGTCAAGGACAGGAAAGGGGGGACAGGAAAAGAGGTCGGAAATCCACCAGGAAAGCGAGATGTGCGTCTCCCGACCCTTTCTTTTCTCGTGGTTAATAAGAGTGGAAGGGAACGAATGCAGTCAGCAACGTTTGAGTTGCTTGGGGGTGCCCCTTTTTATGGTGAAGGGCTGTTAGCTGCATGCACAAGGGCACCCCTCAGAGCTATCCCAGGGAGTTGGGCTTTGGATAAGGGGTGGGAGTTCATGTGGAGGACAGGAAAGGGGGGAACGATGTGACAGGAAAATAGGTCGGGACCAGGAAAGTGACAAGTGCGTCTCCCAGTGAAAGTGACAGCTTGACTGACATCTCATAGACTGAAGAAAGGGTCGAAGAGAAAGACACACGTATAATATATAAAAGATATGAAATGATATTTAAGTTACAAGAGCCAGTAAGCTTAGGCGATGGGACCTCCTCGGTAATCTTTGCTCGATGTAGGCAAGCACATGATTTTTGCAGTAACTTTCATCGGCCCACTCTTGGCAGCACGCCGAGTTTATGAGTCCATCTTCAGGACAAGGGAAGCAAACAGCAGGCAAGCACCCCGCAGATACCAGGGGAGCCCTTTTTCAGCTTGAAAACGCCCTTGAGCCAAAAGAGAAAGGACACCCCCCCCGACACATGCATCCTGTTTTCTAGTTCTAGCAGCAGTAGGTGTCAGTGTAATGTCGACTTCACCCCACAACAACACGAATCTTTGCCCGATGCTAGGCAATCACTTGATCTTGGCTGTGAGCTTTCATCGGTCCACTTTTTGCAGCACGCCGAGTTTTTGAGCCCACCTACATGACAAAAGAAACAAGCAGCGGGCGAGCGCCCCTCAGTTACTGAGGGTGCCCCTTGTTTAGCTTCAAAAAGCCCGTGATCCAAAAGAAAAAGAACATCCCACCCCCCCGCCACCTGTGAATGTCCTGCTCAAGTCAACCTTTCACCCCCGATTCAGTTTTTTCCTAACGCATGGGCTCCACTTCCATCCTAAAACCGCTAATGGGCCTTGCGATCAACCGTGTGTATAAAGAGCCCGTCATATCGGCCCTCAATGTGAGACTTTCCGCCTCTGCCTTCTATTTTCCCATGCCTGACATCAGTTTCAGTGCGCTGTCGAATTTTACCCCATAACCACATTGATATCTTCTTACGGAGGCTGGCTTTCGCCCCCCCCCTTCTCAGGTAGGCGTGTGTATGTTTCATATACTGCACAGTTGCATGGTTCAACGGGTTTTCGGGTTTTCAGAGGGGTTTAAACCTGAATTGATTTTGAAGGGAATACGTTGTTCAGCTCCTGGAACTTGCAAGGGACCATATGTTGCTGCAGACCTCCAAGCCAAGCCTCTTAGACGTCTTCAGCCAAGCTCTTGACAACATATTTGATTGCATCAATTGCAGCGAGTATCAAGGGCATTACTACATTCTAGCTACTAGTGCCAAGGAAATTTCTACTAGTAGACCTTGATTCAAACGTTTTGCGCAACCCTTGATCCGCACAAGGTGTCCAGAAACGAGGGTAGAGGGCATGGGCCGGCCCTCCCAGCAGCGAACCAGAGCGATCCGCAGATCAGTATCAAGGCCTCATACCGTCAATGAAGCACTTGCATGTCAAAGGCATCACTTCATCAGCAATGATCGTGGGGCTGCAGCTGCAAGTGATGAACAGTCTACCCGGTAAGTATTCGAAAGGATCAGCGCAACTTGCCTGTCCCGCAGGTGATGTCATACAATTTGATGGGCTGGTCTTCTTTCAACGCCAATACCTGGAAGGCATGCTGTCCACGCTCTGTGAGACAGATCAGCCTTGGTTGCCTGGACCCAGACCTATTCTAGCGCGTTTCCGTTCTGGAAATATAGGGGTGGCTCAAAGAGCACACCGTTTCCCAACGCCTGTGAACGGTTGCTCCCTAGCCTAGACGTTTGGACTTCTAGCAATGTCTCTACTTCGGCGTGAGCGTGGTGATTCTATATGCGATTTGAAGGATTCGACAGGACATGAGTTGTTGGAATGCCGCCAGGGCCAGAATGTCCTCGGCAAGATCAATGCTTTGAATCCTGACATACTTGGAGTTTGTAGCTCAGGCTGCTCCCCTCCTTTGTTGCAGGCTACCCCAAAAAACTTCATACGAGGTGCTCGTGGGCCATTTGAAAGGAAACATGCGCTAAACCACTGCTTTGTAGCTTACAGAGGTGATGCAGGCAATCAATCTTATACCGCATCAATGCCAACTCAACGATGAGTGGCCACACAGCTGCTAAAATACCAGCGCTGGCACCATTTCAGTGGGGAGAACCCATTGGCATAGCATATTCTAAATATGTATCATTCTGGATCTTCTTGTGAAACTAGGTGCACATGCCATAAATTGCCGTGTGCGTATGGTTCATCAGCAAGGTTTCCCTTCCCTCTTCCTTTTTCCTCGGTTGCTTTGCCTCTGTATCCCTTGGAATCTTGTTGGAAACCAAGTGTAGTCCGTGCCATTCCGAAAAATAGCATCCATGGCATCTAGAATTCTTCTACGCCTACGCCATCTAGATGTGACTAGAACAAGACATGGTCGTCTTCCTCCAGCACCTGTTGGCTGCGTCATAATAGGGTTGTCTACTGAAGTCTTCGTTGTGCAGAGCATCTCAATGAATACTGTCTCGACCTCATTCACTGTGTATATAGTCTTGCAAGATGCGTCCTCGATGAAGTCAAAGTGTTTCGCTGGTCTTGAGGCAGAGCAGCCAAACTGACCATCAACAAAGCCACAAGCGTTGGAGCTGCTCCAATCATCAATGTGTCTGCTTGTATTTGCTGCTGTACATTGGGATGTGCTTGTGTCTTCGGAACAGGGCTTGAAACCTTGTCACGGAAGCGAGCTCAGAAGGAGCTCAGCGGAAGTTGCTGTTTACGAAATATAGTGAGGCTCAAAATTGAAAGGTTCAGCGAACTAAT